ACCAACACTCTAGGCACCTCTTATTTTGCATAGCCATAGTATCGAGAAATGTCCATTTCTTTTTCTCTCTCGATGAAATATTGCACTTTCCCCAGCGAGGTGAATTTGGCAGCATTCTCCCGCTCAAGTTGAGCTTTCCTCTTCATAGCCTCCCTCTCTGGCCTCTGCTCCTTTGTGATGGGCGTTGACATTACTGGCCCAGAAATATCAGGTTTCCTCCATGGAATTCTCTGACAGGCAAAATCCTGGAGAAGCCATTGGTTTTGAGGTTTGGGTGGGGTCCAGGGCTTGTTCACCGTAGTGCGAACCGGCTCCCGCTGGAAAGAAGTGCAAGTTGATGTTTTGTAGGGCACAGGTCTAGAAGCATCACACGGAGGGACACTAGGCTGGGTAGGGTTGGTCCAACCTGGTCGGACTGCATTGGTTGAAATAGGTTTAGCAGGACCTGTCAAAGATGCAGGAGTTGGCTGGGATGAATTCACTGCAGTAAGTTGAGCTGAATTAGAACCAGGCTCAACAGGGTTGGTCAAATCTGGTTGGACTGGGTTCATCCAAACTGGCTGAGCTGGTCTGGCAGGACCTCTCATAGATGCTGGGGTTGGCTGGGATGAATTGACTGCAGCATATTGAGCTGAGTTAGAACCAGGCTGATCAGGATTGGTTGAAATTGGCAGAGCTGGTCTGGCAGGACCCATCATAGATGCAGATGTTGGCTGGGATGAATTGACTGCAGTAGGTTGAGCTGACTTAGAACCAGGCTGGGCACAGTTAGCCCCAGCGGGCCGACGTGATGCCAGAGACAGTGGCCTGCGAGGAACAGGTCGAGCTTGGGGCTTGTCCAAAGTTGGAAAAATCAAAGGAACCAACTTGACCTTCCCAGGCGGTGGCAGCTCGTACTCAGATGGAGATGAACACTCCTTTTCAGCACTGCCATCTGGTTTCTGGCGTTTGACTGGAGCTTTCTCAGGACCTTTGCCCTCACGGGGGGTATCCAGCCATTGTCTGATAGCTAGGGATGGCTGGGGGCCTTTGGGGTTGCTTGAGTGTCCCAGGGCCCGGGAGGAAGAGAGTTCAGTTTTCTTATCACTCTTCTTCCCCAGGGCATGAAAAACCTGCACAGACTCCAGCATATGCATACCCAGGGAGCTCCGGGGCTTTTTGAAGGTCTCTTGGGTCAGCTCAGGGTGGTATTTCTTCCGCTTCATCTTTGGAATGTTTGGCTTCTCCTCTGCCTTGACTTTGTTCCCTGACTGCTTACTCTCTCCAGTTTTCTTGGGGTTGTTTTCTCTGGTTCTTTTGGCCTTTTCTTGCCCATGGCTCTTGGTTTTGCTGGTCCTGCTGGGGGCAGCTTTCTGAAGTTTGTTAGAATTCTTGGCCCTGTTTTCAGGAGCCCTGTCACTGGCTGCAGCATTGGAAACAGCCACTTCTCCCACCAACATGCCATCTGGATTCTCAGGCTGGATTTTGACTATGGGAGCACCACTGATCAGCTCAGAGGCTTTATGTTTGTTCTTCCTGTCTTGATCAGAGGGAGCATTAATGACACTTGTTTTCTGCACCTCGTTCAAATTGATGGCTCTGGTATCTTTGGTTTGGATCACCTTGGAACCTTTGGATTGATCAAGTTCATCCAAGGAATTTAGGACCACTGGAAGCTGAATATCCTCCACCAGTGTGGCGATGTCTGCAAAGCCATCATTGGATTCAGTCCCATTTTCAAGTGTCCCTTGGTCCTTAAGACTCAGGCTGTTCTTTCCCAGACCAGCGTTTTCCCAACCAGGCTGCTCCTCCTGGCCAAGGGGATCAAAGCAGGCCAGGAGCTGGGGAATGTCGGGGATTTCTAAAGGGAGCAGTGGAGGCTCTTGGTTTTCTGTTGGGATCTGGTAAGCATCCAGAGGCTTTGAAAGCACGGTTTTCATGTCCTCCAAATTCCTATTCCCTTTCTGTTCCTGGCTTGGAGCTGGAGGCAGTGCCAGGTAAATACTAGGACTGTGGACCGGAGCTGCCATTGAAATGTCCCCAAGCTCGGGTGGTGGGTTGCTGTCAAGTATCTGGATATTGCTGCCACTACAAGACTTGGGGATTTCTGGGGTTTGTGGTAGACAAAATGTTTGGCTTAGTGGTTGCAATCCGAGGGATGTCTTCATCCCCAGGGAAGTCTCCATCACTACAAACGAATCAAGGAGAAGCCAGTCAGCCCCTGGGCACCACCCATGGGTGCTCCCCTGTCACCACCAATGCAGCAACCATTCTCCTTCCAACAATGGGAAAGGCATTCCTACCAGCTCTTCCTAAGGATCATGGACAGCTCCCTGTGCTATGAGAAAGGAGACAACTGTTCTAGTTCTCACTAGGGATCATTTGATGTCATTGTTTCATGGTATTCTGTGTATTTGACAGGGTTGTGATAAAACAAATAAAAAGTTAAGTGATTTAAAATGTTTTACAAAGCTAGCATTGTACATATGGAGTCCTTTTGGTTCTCTCCCTTTCCTGAGGAAATAAGACTTCACACAATGGAGTAGGGGAGGGAATGGAGCTCTTCCTGATGAAATACATAAGCAAGGGCAGATTTCTGGCCTGCTTGCTTTGGACAAGATCGTGGAACACAAGGTCTTAAAACCTGGCATGAATTAAGAAGTGAGGGAAAGTTAAACTACCACTATCGCAGTAAGAGTTCTGAAATTCCTTCTAAAAACACTGAAGCACCCTAACCGGTTTGGCTCAGTGGATAGAGCACTGGCCTGGGGACTGAGGGGTCCCAGGTTTGATTCCAGTCAAGGGCATGTACCTTGATTGCGGGCACATCCCCAGTAGAGGGTGTGCAGGAGGCAGCTGATGGATGTTTCTCTCTCATCGATGTTTCTAACTCTCTATCTCTCTCCCTTCCTCTGTGTAAAAAATCAATAAAATATATTTTTTTAAAAAGACACTGAAACAATAAATCAAGAGAGTCCATGAAACTGTTGTAGTAGAGGGAGACTAGTAGGTAAGGGAGTGAATAGTGTGGGACCCCTTTGTATGCTCTTCAGTTCTCATACATGGCCAATCCAGTGTCCACCTTCCCTTCTCTATGAGGTGTTCCCATAGAGTCTGTAAATGGGGAGCACTGACTGAGGGTGGCAGTTACAAAGTCACAGGACTTAAAGTCTACCTGTCTGTGGACTCACCACTTCCCAGGAGCAGATTGACCCGAGTTTTTAATGGTGACCCTGTTCCTCTTTCTTCGTGCTATTTAAACTCACCTTGAAAACTTGTCTCTGTGATGGGTTGAGCAGGCACAGAGTAGTAGATTGCAGAGGTGGAGGCTGGTGGTATCACACTTGTGGGCTGGACCTCCTTTAGCACCATGACCATTTCTGGTTGAGGGGCAGAGGCCCTGCTCTCTGGGTAAGACACAGAGCCATAGGATTGCAGGTAGGGGCCACGTTCTGCAGAGAGCACAGGCCCCAGTGTGCCTTGATTGTAATAATAGAGCTGACTTCCTTCCTGGTAGGGAAGTGACCAGCTCTGTCCCGGATTTGGAATCTGAGATGATGCCCCATGAACAAGGCTGGCAGAAAGTGATGGATACAGAGGGACCATGTTAGTGGCATCTGAGGTTTTATTGTACTGGGATGCCATCGACATGGAAGAAACAGCTGTGTCCTGGTCAATGACAGTCACCGTGAAGTCTCGGATGGATGAGGACTTCCTTTCAGTGCCTCCTGTGAGCGCCCACTCAAAATACCAGGATTGGAAGCAGCTGGAGTGGAGATCTGGCTCTGGCCCGGTAACTCCAGACAACATAGTTGTGCTAGAATGTTGGTAAAGGTAGGCACTACCCATGAGAGGTTGGAAAGAGGTGCCAGAGACTGATGGTAGGAGCCATGCTGATGTGACGGCTGGAGCAGAGACTCTGGGGAGACTGCAGACTCGTCCTGTGAGGGAGGCTGCAGTGCTCCCCACAGGAAGAGAGAGCTGCAGAGACTTTGAAGTTCCAAGTAAAGGTGGATTTTGGAAATTCTCTGTGGGGAACAAAGAGGGTGATGAAAAAAATCAAAGGGCTTCACTATGTTTGAAGAATAGCATCATCTTAAGATTAATACCAATACTCACTGAGGTGTCAAAAATCAAACAGCTTATGCTGGTTGTAAGTCCTGGAACAGTTTGCTACTCTTCTGTATTAACTGCCAGTGCTCCCAATGTGGGCAAAATGTGCAAGAGAACCAAGAGGTTCATACATTCTCTACGGTAGAGGCAACCACTCTCCGCCCTACCTTTCCCTTGAGCCTCTACTAGTATTGATTTGTGTGCTCTTTCCTAGAATCAAACCAGGATTCTTTAGAGAACCTGATTTCTAACATTCTCATTTTATGAGTGTGGAAACTGAAGCTCAGAGAGGCCAGATAGACTTGTTCAAGTTCTCTCATTGTGCCTGTATTATTACCGTGTTACATAACCTAAGTATCCTGACTCCCTTACTGGAGCTCTGCTCTGAGCATTACACTGCCACAAACCGGGAGCAATGGGGCTTCTAGTATAGATGCGGAGTTTTGTCCATGGAAAACAGTACAGCTATTGCCGCTGTAATCTTCAGTGCCTCGTGCTGCCTGCAAGTTCGCATGCTATTCCCTGGAACTCACATGTATTTCAGTGCAGTTGATAAATTTGAAGTGTCATTCTTACCCTCTTCAAGCCTGGTTTCTGATCCTACCTCAAAATGGCTATGGGGGAGTGAGTTTCTCAAGAAGTGCTTTTTGAAAGAAAAACATTATTGAAACTGTCCAGGTTTTGAGTTACTCATCCAAAAAGTCATTATAATAATAGTAACAATAATAATTTATACATGAGTAAGTGTTATATTACACTAGAGGCCCCGTACACAAAATTTGTGCAGTATGGAGGCCCCTCAGCCTGGCCTGCACCCTCTTGCAGTCCAGGATCCCTTGGGGGATGTCCAGCTGATGGCTTAAGCCATCAGTCAGACAACCTTAGTGCTGCTGCGAAGGCGGGAGAGGCTCCCACCATTGCACTCGGCTCAGGGCTTCTGGCTGAGCAGCATTTCCCCTGTGGGAGCGCACTGACCTCCAGGGAGCAGCTCCTGTGTTGAGTGTCTGCCCCCTGGTGGTCAGTGTGCGTCATACCAAGGGTCCTTCCGCTGTTCTGTTGATTTGCATATTAGCCTTTTATTATATAGGACTAGAGGCCCGGTGCACAAAAATTTGTGCACTCGGGGGGCGGGGGGGTGTCCCCCAGCCCGGCCTGTGCCCTCTCGCATTCCGGGACCCCTCGTGAGATTACTACCTGCTGGCTTAGGCCTGCTCCTGGGTGGCATAGGGCAGGCCCAATCCCTAGGTACAGCCCCTGGTCAGGCTCAGAGCAGGGCCGATTGGGGAGTTTGGGCGCTGCCCCATCATGCGGATCGGGAGGTTGCGATGCCACCCTCAGTCACGCTCAGGGTAGGGCCGATTGGGGGGTTGGGGCACCGCCCCCTGTCACACTCAAGGCAGGGTCGATGTGGAGGTTGCGGCGCCACCCCCTGTCATGCACAGAGCAGGGCCGATCAGGGGGTTGTGGCGCTGCCCCCTGTCACTCACAGAGCAGGGCCCATCAGGGGGGTTGGGGCTCCATACCCTGTCACACACAAAGCAGGGTCAATCAGGGGGTTGGGGAGCTCCCCCCTGTCACTCACAGAGTAGGGCTGATAGGGGAGCTGGGGCACCGCCCCCTGTCACACACAGAGTAGGGCGGATCAGGGTGTTGGGGCGCTGCACCCTGTCACACTCAGGGCAGGGCCAATGGGTAGGTTATGGCTCTACCCTGTCACACACAGAGCAAGGCCCGTGGAGGGGGGTTGGGGCGCCGCCACTGTCACACTCAGGGCAGGGCCGATGGAGAGGTTATGGCTCTACCCTGTCACACACAGAGCAGGGCCTGTGGGGTTGGGGGGGTGTTGGGGCACCGCACCCTGTCAAACACAGAGCCGCAGGGCATTCAGGGGATTGGGGAGCTCCCCCCTATCAGGCACAGAGCAGGGCTGATCAGGGGGTTGGGGCGCTTTCCCCTGTCATGAACAGAGCAGGGCGGATAGGGAGGTTGTGGCCCCGCCCCCTGTCACACACAGAGCCAAAGGGCAATAAGGGGATTGGGGAGCTCCCCCCTGTCAGGCTGATCCCGGTGCCGGGAACCTCGCTGCTCTGCTGATCCCAGTGCTGGGAGGCATATTACCCTTTTACTATATAGGATAGAGGCCTGGTGCATGGGTAGGGGCTGGCTGGTTTGCCCTGAAGGGTGTCCTGCATCAGGGTGGGGGTCCCCACTGGGGTGCCTGGCCAGTCTGGGTGAGGGGCTGAGGGCTGTTTTCCGGCTGGCGAGTGACTGAAGCTCCCAACCACTCCTTGTTTTCTTTTTTTTTTTTTTATTCTTGGCCAGCTTTAGCTCTGAGGCCTCGCTTCTGAAAACATTGATACAATGTTGTGGTCTGGCTGGCTTTCAGTCCGGCTGGTTTCTGGGGTTTTGTTTAGCTTCTTATTTGCAACATAGTACATAGTTGCTTAGAGTTGCAGCTGAGAGGCCGGCAAGTCAGGCAGGGAACGTTGGAGTCTGCAGTCACTGAAGCAAGCAAACCTCCCTGCTCGCTTCAGTGCATGGCTGCCGGCCGCCATCTTGGCTGACAGTTAATTTGCATAAGGATATGCTGATTAGCCAATGGGAAGGGTAGCGGTTGTATGCTAATTACCATGTTTCTCTTTTATTAGTGTAGATATTAAATACATCTCTTTTGTCTAATGTCAGCATCTGAAAAATATCTATTAGAAATAAAACAATGTTCTATTCTTTGCATCGAACAGTCAATAAATGTTTTCTGAATGAAAAAGAAACTTTAGAGTCAATAGCTGTGGGTTTAAGCTAGTGATTACAAAGGAAATATAAGTCTCATGTAAAATTAATCTTATAAATGATAATCACATGCTTTAATCTAGTTATGGAAATGCTCTTTTAACTGACTTGAT